ATTAGAAATAAATAAATACAGAAATAAATATACAAAGAAATGTAAAAAAAATAAATAAATAAATAAAAAAAATAAAAATAAATAAATATATAAATAAATAAATACTTATACTTTTATGTCCTTATTTATTTATATATTTTTTTCCACATTTATTTATTTTTTCTTTTATTTATTCATACATTTATTTATTTCCACATTTATGTATTTATTTACGTATTTATTTCTATATCTACCTATTTCCAAATTTATTTATTTCTACATTTATTTATTTCCACATTTATGTATTTATTTACGTATTTATTTCTATATCTACCTATTTCCAAATTTATTTATTTCTACATTTATTTATTTCCACATTTATGTATTTATTTACGTATTTATTTCTATATCTACCTATTTCCAAATTTATTTATTTCTACATTTATTTATTTCCACATTTATGTATTTACGTATTTATTTCCATATTTATTTATTTATATATATTTTTTTTTCACATTTAGTTATTTCTACATTTCTTTGTCCGTAGGGTAATGAGGAGGGCGTGTTGTAGGCGAGGTGTAAGCTTTGAGGCCACAGTGACGCCTTGTGGTGCCCAAACCAAATATATGATGCTGATGCTGATGCTGATAGTGGGATGAATGATTTAGAACCTTACATCACAGGTTAAGACGTTTAATATCACCCTAATGCAAAGTTTCTAGGGGGAAAGCAAAAGATTTGAAAAATCTTTTTCCTACCACCCCGTATTTTCCCCACCATGTCCCTTTAGGGGTTCCATAGTATAAATACAGTATAAATACAGGTGCTGTGTCCCAGTTCACATACTATCCGTCATGAATAGTATGTCCCAAATCGTAGTATGTTGAAATGAGTATTCCAAAGGTACCCGGATGGTTTACTGCTTCCGGTAGAAATTCAAAGTGCCAATCCGAAATTACGTGGCCTTTTATTGTGCCTAAGGCACACCTGTGCAATAATCATGCTGTCTAATCAGCATCTTGATATGCCACACCTGTGAGGTGGATGGATTATCTCGGCAAAGGAGAAGTGCTCACTAACACAGATTTAGACAGATTTGTGAACAATATTTGAGAGAAATAGGCCTTTTGTGTACATAGAAAAAGTCTTAGATCTTTGAGTTCAGCTCACGAAAAATGGGGGCAAAAACAAAAGTTTTATTTTTTATAATTTTGTTCAGTGTATTTTCCTATCTATATCTTGAAAGATAAATATATTGAGTAAAACAAATTGGTAAATCTTTACAATTAGGTGTCAGTGTAGGATGTGTACATTGGGATGGGATGCGGGTGGTTAGATGAAACTGTAGGTATTGGGGCCCCTTTTGAAAATCTGCTTAGGGCCCCGAAACGCTAGGGCCGGCCCTGCTGACAGGTATAATTTATATTAACATTACAGAATAGAGCATGATCAATATGAACTTTTAACGTTCAATTTAAAGAAATGTATTTGCACAAACGACGTAGGCTACAATTTCAATTTGTTTATTGTGAAATAACTCAAACATATATGTTTTTTTTTCTGTCCTCTGATAAGCATTGTTCTGCCGTTCCCAAAGGCATCAACGGTTTCTTATGACACTTTTGGGAAATGCAGCCCTGTTTGAAAGCACTGTCAGAAGTGAGTGAAAGCTCTCTGTGATTGATTGGTTCTGTCTTGCATTGTGTGTTCAAATCAAGCGGCAACCTCCCGCTCTCTCTCGTGAAGCCAACACGGAAGTGACTTAAACTGTAATTCATCGACTGGCCGCTAGAGGCTGGCTGCAAAAGGGAGTCAATCCCACAGACTCCCCATGTTAAAATGCCCAACTTTACAGCAGAAAAAACGTTTACAGCATGGTTCAAAAAATGATTTTGGTTTATATAGCTAATTTTGCCATCACAGTATGGTAAAGGGCGTAACATTTCCGTCACACGCTTGAGGTATTCAGCTAATCACAACGCACTGGATAGCTGGCCAATCAGAGCACACCTCGCTTTTCAGAATGATGAGCTTTTATGGGCTTACATTTCTGCCACAATTCTGCTCGTGAAAGATCATATTTTGAGCGCACAAAAGTGCATTTTGCATGCGCGCGATCTGAGTTTGTGGAGAAAATGTTCGTTTCGCAAAGAAAAAAGTCTTTCGAGCGCACGGAAATCAATTTTGCATTTAAAATACGTTTTTGGATGTGTGCAGACCTTCTCTTTTGCGCGTGCAACGTTTCACTAGCTTGCTCACCTGATGCCCCCCTCAGTGCTCGGTAAATACCAACAGCTTGCGTGCTCAACACAACCCAGTTACAATGTGCCATAATTCCAGCCAATCAGAGACCGAGGCTGCTAAATTCTGATTGGCTGCCTTGACAACCAATCACAACATTTCTTGCATTACCTCGACAGCAGAAGAGGAAAAATACAGTGCATGCATAATTATTATGCAAGTTGATATTCTGATTATATTTTTATCGATTAGAAGTACAAACACGCATGAAAAGTGTTAAAAACTACAAATATGGCGGATATGTAATACCGACAGACAGGTAGAGAAAAGGGTTTGAGTGAAATAATCAATATCCAACCTGTTGAAAAAATATTTATTTAATATTATCAGCATTATATTTCATCTGCAGCAACACTGTGAACTTTATAATGATACGTTTGGTCATAATCCTTTTAAATGCATCATTATGCAAACATATTAGCAGCAGAGTTCTCGGCATGATAGACCCGCGACTGGCAGATCAACGTGCCTCTTAATTTCTCTCCAATACGGTAGGAAATTAAATTAAATGAAATATGGATAAGGTGATTGACAGGGCAGTTTAAACTGCGACAAGATGCACGTAACTAAGCAACAGAGCGTCCGTTAAAGATGCAGTTATGAGGAAGTAGTAGCTTCCTCATGTCCCCTATGTCCCCTTCCCCTATGTCCCAAAGCTTGCCTACTATTCTGCTACATCCTCAAAAGTGTGTACTTTTTCTTCACAAAAAGAGTAGCTACACACTTTTAGGGCATAGTATAAGTAGGCGAATTGGGACGCAGCAAGGGTGATATTAAATGATTTCGTCACGTTTTGGAATTTCATAATAAATATTCACTTCTCAAATGTAATTCTTTTTGCAATGATTGACATAAATGGATGGGAGAAAAATATAATTTGTCAAAATAGATTATGGAGCATTATAAATGCAAACTTTTCTGCATTCATAGACATTTTCGTATCTGCACCACTATTACTTTAGTAAGTCCAAATTAGAGTCCGACCGATATGGGTTTTTTGGGGGCCGATGCCGATATTAGGGAGTAAAAAAAGACCGATACCGATATGTCGGTCGGTATTTTTTATGTGTAGGCTATATTATAGTACAGTATAGTCAAAAGTTTTATATATATATATATATATATATATATATATATAAACACATATATGTTTTTATGGTACATGGTACTGCATGCAAATATCAAATCTTTACTGTTAATTGACAGAATTGAACTACTGAAAAAGAAATTTGAACTATAACCATTGGAATTTTTTTTTTCCTACGTATCAAATACCTCGAGCATTGCAATTCATCATCCTATGGGCCGTGGCCAGTTCAGATTAAAATAAATATATGTGATCCCGTTCATTAGTGCAGTACTGTTATCATGTCGTTCTGTAAATATGTCTTGATATCGTCTGCCGCATGGTGGCGATAGAGAACACTGTGTACTTACATTTAGAATTAAGTTTTATTTGGATATCAGGTGTCCTTTTGGAGTCTCATTGGAGATCTACTGAAGACACATATATTTAGCTTTAAAAAGCGTTTAGAAAATGCAGTTTTGTGAGAATCATCCTCAAGTTTAAACCAGAACATTTTTCTTTATTTCAAATAATTTGTCAAACCTCTCAAATCCTAGTCGTAATATTTCTTTTATTGAAAGTATTTCATACAAAAAAAAGGTAGTCACTTTTTAGTCTATTTGAGCTTCTCTTAAACTGTTCCTAAACTGTACCTACTAGCAATTCTGAAATCGGAATTGAGCACTAAGGCTTGCACTGTGAACATAGCCTTTAGCAATTGTGGGGTTGCTGGTTGCATCAGTTAATTCAGAGACGTTCCCTTGAGGATTTATGAATATGAGTTAACAAATCTTTAGCCATCCACTAGGGGGCAATCTGACTCCCACTGTTGTGAAAACCTGGCAACCCTGGTCACGTTTATTGACAGTGTAAGATGATTTACGATTAGCCGTGTCGGAAATCCAACCACGGATTGGCATGTTGTTATCTCAGAAACAGGCTCAGCCATCACATTGAATCAGGTAAACTGGTTATATATTTATGTTTCAGTATAATTACACACGCTATACCAGGGGCGGTTCTAAACCCTTTTAGGTGGGTTTCAGCCCCCCTGTCTGTCACCTTAGCCCCCCAAAACTATCTTAACGATCAGGCCAGTGCTGTTTCCTCGAGAAAGTTTTTCATTCTCACGTGTTTTAAGTCTTGTCAGTTTAAACATTAAAGTAATTTTAAGCCATTTAAGCCCAAGACATCTCAATGCGGTACTCACGCACTGTGATAGAGCGTTTCTATGCGCACCGCTCACACACCTGAAGTGCACAAACAGATAGCCTTCTCAGACAGCAGGTGAATACCAATGGCTGTCTTGACAAGTATCCTTGTAAGCACAGTCGGTTGTTTTAAGTGAATGAAAACAGTGAAGAAAATATCAAATGTACATCAGTATAACAGATCCGTGCATTTCTTATGTAAATAATGTTAATCAAAAAGAGCAAAAGAAAAATTGTTCGCTGCTTTAATAGCTTTAATGGATATTTGTTTTTATGTTAATGTTAATAAAGTAATTCGGTGTGACTACAGTAATACCGGGGGGAGGGGGGCGCGAGTGAAATTAAACAAACTTGGGGGGGCGCATGTCCTAAAAGGTTGAAACCCCTGCCTTAAAGTATAGCAACAAGTTACAGTAATCAGTTGCAAAGTGTATTTTTTATTTTACAAACTTCAAAGTAAGTATACCAAGCCAAAAGCGTAAAAAAAATAAGTCAGCAAACGTGAGCACCATGTTACTTAACACAGTGCACTGAATTACAGGATGTGGTTTCTTACTGTCAATGACGCCAAGACGTCTGAGAAACAAATGCACTTTGTGGTACAGCTAGATGAGAATGTGCTACAAATGTTGTTGTTTCCCCTTTTTTGTACCATTTTAAACATGAGATTTGTGACCATTAATGGTGCTTTGCAAAACCTCTGTTTAAAGCTTCTGTATTTACAGCTGTTCAGAAGATGCACCTCATTCATCCTCCATTAATGAAGATCTTTCACGAGGGGGAGCTGAACTTTGACCAGGATCCTCCATTTCCACTTGTTCAGCTTCAGGTTCTTTGGTTCCTGCTGTTTGATGGCGACACCTCATGCATCCAATTATAAATAGGGGCAGAGAGCTCAGAGCCAGCATGGCCAGTGCCACTATCTGAAGCGAAAAAGTGTGTTATATCATTTAAAGCATATGACAAAATCTTTGGTACATTTAATTTGATGAATCTCATCTTCATCCACATCAAACATAATTAAATTGTCCCATTGATTCACTCACCTGAGAAGTATTTCGAAAGCCAAAAAATGCCATTTGCTTTTCAGTGATGTTGTTAGAATTGATCAAAGGCTGACACCATGTTGTTGAAGCAGATATATCCGTGTGAACCGTCAGTCCTTCCCAGGAGGTTTTCGCACAGGCAAAGTATTGTCCATCAAAGAGCAGCAGCATGATCCAAACAACAGCTGGAATGATGCAGGTTACCGTGGAGAGCAGACACTTTGTTTTGCATTGTGGGCTTTGAATATAAAACATGAGTGTGCTGGAGAACAGAGCAGGAACCACAAAATATGCTGCAGAAAACAGCAGGTTCATCGCTGGTTTACAAGGACATGCAAAGTCCATCTCCACGAGTTTCTCAAGTCCCACCATTAAAAAGCCAATAATTGCATTTGAATAAAAAGGTCTCTTCTTCAGCTGTTTTTTCAAGCATGCTATCCATTCCTTGCTCATTGTCGGTGTTGTTAAGGTCGAGAGGTGTGCAGACTAAAACTGAAAGTGATTGCTGGCTGACTTTTGTGTCAGCATTCACACCTTTCACAACTTCATATCTCTCTGAGACTCTTCCTGAGAAGCTCTGTGGTTGCGATGGAGAGATTTGACTTTCTGAAACAGTTTCAAGGCTGTGCACTAGTCACTTTAATGGCCCTATATACTGTAAATGAGTGGCATAATAATACAATTTGAGTGACTAGAGACTCTGTCATGGAAATTGTAAAATGCTAAGTGTACATATAAGGCCCTGTTAAAGTCAATATCAAATACTTCTATTGATTGACCTGAGTTTGTAAATTTTTCTGCAAGATCCTTTGGTGTCATGGATTGAAATGTCAGGAATCTCATAAAGCATTTATGGGTTTTATGGGAGTTATGGCTTTTTAAAAGACTTTTAAACATAGGATTTAAGTTTTTTAACTGATTTTGAATTATGAATAGTTGGAGGGATTATGAAAATGAAAATGATGTTGTCATTTACTCACTTTAATGCCATCCTAAACCTGCATGAGTTTTTCCTCTACTGAACACAAAATAAGATATTTTGAGGAAAAACGTATGTTTTTTTCACTGGACAAAACATCTTCTTTGTGTGTTCTGCAGAAGAAAGAAAGTCATGCAGCTTTGTAACAGCACAAGGTTTAGTAAATTATTACAGAATTTTCCTTTTTGGGTGAACTATATCCCATTAAAATCATCATAACAAAGCAGGATCACGCTTCACGTGATTTTCTTGGTTTAAAGCAGTTTTACTCATTAATAATCCAGAACAGATTATTGGATTTCATCAGAAAACTGTGAGTAGTGAGTACCTGGGAGCAAACGTCAAAATGATTAATTACTTTGACCTTTTGACCTTTCCCCTCCCCCACGTAGCCCACCCACATCGCGACCACAAGTCATTTATAATTCAACGATTACAAAAATATACACAAATGCCCCAGAGCAGAATTGTCTGTATTCAAATGGCCATTTTA